TGGTCGGTTTTGTTGAAACCACCAACCAGAGCATCCTTATGCCCCCCCAAAAAACGTTTTCCGTGGCATTCCAGAAAGAACTCCTTCGCCACAAAAGTTTGTTTCTACACAACGTAACTTCGGTTGCTAGATTCGAGGCTGAGATGCACAGGGTCTTGGATGGCCTCGGGCAAGCTCCTTCAGAGATACGCTGGCACGAGAAGGAACAGTTCTTGAGGAGTGCCTTCGACAGCACCGGGCCGGCACGGTCGGGTTTGGCGAATATGACAAAGCAGGGCCCTTGGGAAAGAAACAGGTTCTCAGTGGGCAATCAAGGTTTAGTCGTGCCCAGAACCCAGGCCAGGGTCGTTGAGGCTCATTTGCACTCACTATATCCTTCACCTAGCCTGTTTGGCTTCCGCTGTTGGAGATATTGTGTTCTTTTGGGACAGCCTTGCGTTGCTCCTGGGTCCATACGCATGTTTGTCGAATGGCCACAGTGCAGGACATGAAGTAAATAACCTTGCTACGTCCGGCTTTCAGTCCACTTATACTTGGCAGTGTTTCCTTCCAGCCGTTCGGATGTTTCTGTTGAGATCTGCGGCCAAACAAACCCATTGCTGAAAAGGACATGTTGTACACGCTGCTGCTACACTTGTCCGGATTCGTGCTGGACCAAAACTAGGTTGACACCCACTAGGAATAGGCCATATTATATAAATAGTTATTTATTTTTATCCCTCTCTGTCTCGCTATGGAAACCATGCAAAATCACCAGGCACCAAGGCGAACTACCCATCAACCTGCTGCTGAATCCGTGTTTAGCGAAAAGATGCACGCTGGTAAAGCCTGAGTTTTCACATTGATGGAAAGGGCGCAGTTCCAAGCGTCACATATACTGCCAAAAAGCAGATCCGTTTGATACTGTTTCTTTCAACTGCACTACGCGGTGGACACATTTTGCAGAGTTTGCCGCCAACTTGAAGATAGTGAAGCAGGATGTAGGTAGCCAAAATGCAATGCATACCAGTGACACTTACTTGCGCCGTTGCGCAGTGGCACCCTGCGTGTTGCTAGTGGGCACCTGCACGCGCAGCCCCTTGATAGAACTGTGTTTTGCCGCGCGCGTTGTAAGTTCTTCTCCGACGCTGCGCTGTAGTGTTCGGGCCATGTCTAGAGCAGTGTGGCGACACTTGACAACATATGACTCCTTCCAGAAGCCACAAATTGCCCCCTCCACTGCTGACGAAGGACATTTTATGTACACCAGCTAAATTTGTCCGGGGTCGCGCTGGACCAAAACTAGGTGGACTCACAAATATGGCATGGCGCAAAGGATTGTTGTGACGTTCAAGTATTGAGGCTTTTCAGTGACAAGGCAAGGTTGATTTTGGGTGAGATCTCAGCATCTGGAATTTTTTTTGTTTGTTGGTTTTGGCAATGCATGCCATCGTTAACATTCTGTTATTTCATGAGAGCCGCTGGCTCAACACCAAGAAATACATTGTGGTGGTCCTGTTTGTGGCTGTGGCAGCGTGATCTTTTAGGGTCTTCGCAGTTGCCTTCTGAAAGATCAAACGCCTTCAAGCAGTGGTAAAACGTTATTTGCAACCCACATCCCTTTTCAACGTGGATGCTGACCATTGGAACATTAGAAATTGCCAGTCGGGATCTTTTATTTGCGATGTTTCTCTGCCAGTTGTGGGTTGCACCTCTTCTTTGGCGGTGAGCGTCATGGATCCCTCCAGTGCCCCACCCTCCGGTCCGTAAGTTCCGATCGCCTCCACGGTTGGCAGCTTCGCTGAGACAATCCAGACTTTGGGCGGCGGGTGGCAACTCCACAATACAAGACCTGGCAAGGACCCTGGCGAGGCGGGTGCCCAATCGGGCCCAGAAGGGGTGCCCAGAAGGGGGGCTGGAATGGGCCAACGGCGCTGGAGGTGGTTTTTGCTGGAGTGATGTTTGATAAAGTGTTTGGGACATCCTCTTGCAAAAAACGTTTTCAGAACATGTTTGAAAAATCGAAGTTGGGCAACAATGGATGACGCTCTATGGTTTCATAGCTGAGCATAGGTCATGTGCGAGAATCCAGATTGAACAGGTGCTTGCAACCCCTTTTACCATTAAAACAATCTAAAACCTTTAACTAGTTGCCCTGAAGCCTTGTTTGAGTACCTTCTTCCCGACCACATCTTGTCAAAGGCTATTACACAGGGAGCGTAAATGCCAGTGGGAGCACGTCTAGGTTGATTTGGACCCGATCAGAGACATTCTGAATCAGATTTAGCCCGCCCCAAGAGTGTGTCTGTGTGTGTGAAAAACTTTACACTCCTTCAAAAAACGTGAAAGACAGCAAATGTTTTGCGACATGGTCCTTGAAAAGAAGGGATGCCTAGTGTACTCAGTGATGGAATCAGAACACGTCCTTTTGCAGGTCTTGGTGGCTTCAGTCCTGCCCGCACAGGTGGCACGGGAGCGGGATGGAGCGGCAAGCGTGGCTCAAGTGGAGAATGACGCCCTGAAAGTAGCACCAACAAAGATGATAAAAGAATACTTTACTTCGAGTGATCCCGTGAGATTTGTGGCTCTCGATTTTGCTTGTGGGTCCTCGGTTTGTGCTGTGGTTGTGTGTTGTGGGTGTGTGTTTGTGGGTGTTTGCGATTGTGTGTTTGTTGATGTGTTTATGACTGTGTGTTTGTGGATGTGGTTGTCGTTTTGTTTGTGATTGTTTGTTTGCGCTTGTGTTTGTGGTTGTGATTGTGTGTTTGGGTTTGTGGTTGACTTGTGACTTTTGTGATTGTCGTTTTTGTTTTGTTTGTGATTGTGTGTTGTGGTGTTGTTGGTGAAGTCCGGCAGCGCCCAGTTCGCGAGCTGGCGGTTGAGGTCCGGCGGGGAACACTGCAGCTCGCGGTTGAGGTCCTGCGGGGAAGACTGCCAAGCAGAACTCGCGGTTGAGGTCTGGCGGATAACACTGCCAGCCAGAGCTCGCGGTTGAGGGGAAGACGCCAGCTGACATAAAGTCTAGCAACACTCACCTGACAGGTGGGGAACTGCTTTCAGAGAGGTACACAGTGGTTCAGGGTCCATGTTAGCTTTCAGCGGGGTACGAGGGGATCACATGTGGACTTGCTGCAAAGGCTCCTTTTGGAGTTATTGTTGTTCCCCACCAAAACATGAGCCTTTGGTGGGTGAATTCCGGAATCGAGCACTTGGTTTTCATGGATCTAGGAACAAGTTCGATGGTGTGAGGTCTCGCGCAAATAGGCTTGAAAATGAACAGGTTCCTGCACAAATATTAACCTATACCATGTTTTTGATGTATGCTTTTGCGGGGTGGGTCATGACTTACAGCCACGTATTTCGCGTCTTGTTTTCCATGTCCAACGGGTAGGCTTTTGGGTTGGAGCACTGTTGGTGCCGTGGGAGTGTCGGGTTTGTTCTTGTCTCTTCCAAGACGCTATTGTTTTCCATGATCATCATTGTTGTCCCTGATATTTAAGTTTTTGGAAGAGCTAGAATTCTTTATGAATCTATATGATACATGTCGTAAATTGCACACGAAGTTGTGAAACATTGTGAAACCAAATAGAAAGGAACGCGTGAATCTACATTTTCTGAATGAGGTGCAACTATCTTGTTCCGTGATGCAGTGAATGTGCCAGCTGCTAGCATGTTTTTAGGTTGAATAAGTTTGATGCCAAACAAATTAACAAAATAACATATCATTGACAAAGAAAACATTATAGTTACATATAGTTACGATTTTCTACAGAGTGGTAACAAACCAAGAGTCTGGCGTTTGGTGTAAAATGCACCGCAGCACCCTCTATGCCATGAACCACCGGGTAAGTGTGTTTAATTTTTTAGCACCTAGTAACCTAGTAAAACCACTTGATAATTATTTACTCGTCAATAAACTGATATCCACAGGTTTCCAAGACGAATCCAACATGTCAGGTAGAAACCAAACTTGAGATTTTTCATCTGCAATCTTCATTTTTCGGTACCAAATCACCTCTGCACGCGATCGCACCTCGCACCGGGACCGGGGAAAACACCGCACCGAACGGGCCCGGGGCCGGGCGGGGCCGGTGCCGGGCGACTTCGCCTGTGAGGTGTCCATTTCGGTTTCGCCTTTTGATGCGCCGCGCCCCACGATTTCGCCTGTCGGGCGAGCGGTGTGGATGCCGATGGGCCCAGATGCGCCGACACGTTGCGCAGCCAGCGCTGGTGTTGCCTCCGTGTGCTGAGCGAGTCAAGCGATGAAAAGCATGTGGTGTGTAGATGCTATACTGAGGTGATAGCCACAGGTTTGGACAACAAAAAACAAACCTATTTTCTGAAGAGGACGGAGTCAGGACCCAAAATAGCGAAAACTTATGGTTTTAGGCCGTCTATAGGGGGCCACCCTGGTCGCAGGCGTTTGCAGTTGCAGGTGTTGGAGATTTTGGGTGTCCTGCAATCTTCGCCCCAGGGTTCCTGTTAAGCATTCAACCAGAAAACATGTTCAACCATTCGGCCTCTCGAAGTTTTTCCGAGATTGAGATAGGCCTCAAATTTGACATATTTTCTCCAGAACTTACGAGCAACCAGTTGTGTTTTTCATTTTTTCCTCGTTATGTGCAAATTAGAACCAGGTATCCAATGTCAATTGTTCGTGGCTGAGAGAAACTAATTTGTTCTTGGTCCATTGGTTTGTATTGTCTAAACTTTGTCGTTTGTCAGTTCAGGCTACATCTTTCCAAGAGCATTCTACCAAACAAGGACTCCTATGGTTGGCACTTCTTCATAAACAGCGTCCTGGGCGAGATGTTCTTCCTAGTTCTGCTCCAGTGTAGTCGTATACACTGCATACTGCATATTTGCCGATGGGGTGGTGCGTTTGGGGGGTCAATTGATCGGCAGTCCTATGGCAGTCCCAAACGGGTCGTGTCTGGGAGGGTGGGTCGGTGGGTCGGTTGCGCCAATCGGTTGCACCCGGGTCCGGTCCACCCGTGGTGCTTTTGCGCGGCGTTCTCCAGGAGCCGGAGCTTCTTCAGAGTCTGGGAGAGGCGGAACCGGTGATCAAGCGGTGAAGCGGTTTCGTGGCGTGGAGCGGTTCAGATGAAAAAGGCAGAAGGCAGAACGGGTGAGACGTACTGGAACCGTAGCCAAAGCAGATCAGTGACCGGTATATATAAAAAGAAAGGAACGTCCACAATCAACAAGTTCATGTCTTTTCCTGGGGGGGTGAGTTGACAGAAAGCTTAGCTCACCTATATCATTGTTCGGGTTCTACAGCGCACCTGGCAGACTGTCGCAATGGGTAAGTAGCATGCAGCTTCGTTTTGCTTTGATCCACACCCACTGCCAGTGGCGGCCGTGGGCGCGGGGCCAAGGAGTCGGGACGGGACGTCACGTTCTTCGTCGAAGCAAACGACCTCCGGGACCAGCACCGATGGCTTTTCCTGTTCGACCGGTGATGGTTTCGGAGATTTCTATGTTCAACCCTTACTTGGGGATGATTGGACCCTCTGACTCATATTTTTCAAGTGGGTTGAAAACACCAACCAGATCCAACCAGTGTTTCTTTTTGGGCACCAAAATGATTCTTCTCCCACTTCGATATTCTTTCGACAGAAAACCACAGACACAGGTACCTCACAAGTTTGTGTGTGTGTCCACCCCTGGACAAAGGGTTCTTTACCACTACCTCGTT